ACCATGTAATTATAATAATAATTCGTTGTTCGGGGACAGGTAGCCAGTGTGTGTTTATGCACGGTAGGCTTATATTGAGATTCCCCTCTCCCCGAGGGGGAATTACTGATCCCCCTCCCCTTCCTAGGATGGAACAAGCCGACTAACTCCTGGGTACCTACTTGCTGCGAGGTGAACACGGCCATTAGGTGATAGGAAATGCGCCCAAGCATTATTCTGTCCTGCCCGGGATTCGAACCTGGAATTCACGATAATGAGTCGAGAACAAACCATGACTGTACTACCGGGATCCTAATGATTGTTTTTTTTTATTTTTATACTTCAGCTGATTCTTACGTTTGATCTCAATTAGTTTTGTAGCGTTAATGTTTAAGTTTTCCACATCATGCCTGAGTTTAGTTTAGTTCATTCATTATGCACCTCATACCTATCCTGTGGGCGGTAGTGGAAAGGGTTACAGAGGCACATAATGGGCTCAGGGACTGAACCTCACAATTCATTTAGCTAAGCAAGTTACAATCTTGATGAGCTAGTTACAAAATTCAATGCACATCGTCACATCAACATTGGGCTCGAGACCAACCACAAGAACAGTTTCTAATTTAAGCAACTGACATATGTGGAGAAGTAGTGTCATAATTGATATATTTATCCAACCGCCCTCCATCCAGTGGGTAGCGGTGGATAGGTTACAATCACTCAATTACTGCCTACAGTTAGCAAATCCGGGATATTTGGCCATCATGCCTGAAACTCTCTGCATATCAGTGGCTATCTCATTTTGTATGTATAAATAACTTAATAATAATAGTAGTTAGTATCCATCAGTCTCAGGAGACTATGGAGTTGCACTCTGGTTGTTGGTCTGGAGTGGCCTCTCCAGGGCACAAAGCCACGGTAGGTACGTTACAGGCTCACAACCAACATTAAAAGTAGCATCCATGACCGAACTGATATGCACAAAGCATGCTGTACTTAATGTCTGCCTCGTATCCATGCTCTGTTCAAGCTCAACGTCGCAATATAGAACTGAAAACAGAATATGATTTTCACCCACAGGGTTATTAACCCATGGAACCCAGGGTTCCCATTTAACCCATGAACACTAATAATAATAATAATATTATTACTAATAATAACAGATAAATAATAATAATAATAATAATATGTGGGTCGAGGTCGGCCCTATCATGAAGGAGGGTACAGCTTGGCCACTATACCTTCCTTCATAAAGTTGGTGGATATGAAATGTGCCACTCAAAGTCCGTAGAGTTTAGCATTCGCTAGGTTCAAAATCAAATCAAAATCAAAATGTTTATTCATGTAAAAGTACATACATAGAAGATGAGTTACAAACATAATGTTGGATTTATAGATAGAGCTAGTACATACAATACAGTGCATACAATACCTAAAGCCACTAATACGCACAATGTTTCAAGCAAGGTGTGGAAAAAAACTTAGATTAAAGCTTAATACTAATTAAGCTTTAATTGTACAGAATTGAATATAAATAGAATATAAATTGTACAGAAAAGGGAAAAAAAGGGGGGGGGACACGTGGCAGAAATCAGCCATTATACAAATTGGTCAACAAACAGTATTGTTTGGAAATAGCAAGACATGGGTTGACAATTTGGGGGTAAGATAGGTTACATGGAGTTTATTAGGTAGTACTTAGTTTTTCTCTTAAACTGGTTAAGAGAGGTACAGACCTTTGACATGATTGGGAAGGTCATTCCACATTCTGGGTCCCTTGATTTGTAGAGCATTTTTGGTTTGGTTAAGGCGCACTCTTGGAATATCAAATAGGTATTTGTTTCTGGTGTGATGCCCATGTTACAACCTTCTAGGAAGCATTTAAGGTCAGGATTGGCAGTACTGTTCAGTTTTAAATATATATGAGTACACATGAGAGGATGTGCAGTGACTTAATATCTAACATATTTAAAGATTTAAGTAAGGGGTACCGAGTGCTGTCTGGGACCAGAGTTTGATATTGTTCATTTATTATGCATGCCATACCCATCTTGTGGGCAGTAGTGGAAAGGGTATATTAAAAGCACAGGAGGAATATTATTTTGTATTTCAGTGTCTGCTTTTCAAGAGTTGAAAAATTCTGCAAGATCGACAGCAAGAACCTCATACTAGCCATTATAAATGATCTGATTGCTGCACAGAGTAAAGGGTTTAGAATCTCTTTTGTATGGATACCTTCTATAATAATAATAATAATAATATTATTATTATTATTATTATTATTATTATTATTATTATTATTATTATTATTATTCACAAGAAGGTGCAATGGGTTGGTGAGATTTCATTAGATTCGTATTCGTACATTCTTGCAAAGCCACTAGCACGCATAGCATTTCAGACAGGTCCTTATGAAAACGTCCATTGCAACAAGGTTTTACATCAACAAATAACAACAATATAAATTCAGAGGTGATTACACTGGTAAAGATATATGTCTTAAGTACTGTACATAAGGGAATTTAACAGTTACAGTGTGAGTTTGAAGCACAAGGTAGGAAACTATGAGGATGAAATTAGGTATTCTTTGGTTTTACTTTTGAATAAGGCATAGGTTGGACAATTTTTTTTTTATTTGTCAAGGAGTGAGTTCCATATACTGGGTTCTTATATTTGCATGTAGTGTTTGCACAGATTTAGTGTGACTGGGGATATCAAAGAGATATTTATTTCTTGTGTGGTGCTCATGGGTTCTATTACACCTTTCAAGGAAAGGTTTCAGATCAAGATTAGCATTTAGGAACAAGGTTTTGTACATATAAATAGTCCACCATAATGACAGATATTGCAGCCAAATTATCATGCTCTTCTTTTTGTTTGATCAAGAGTAAACTCACAATACAATATATTATAATAATAATTTTATTTAGGTAAGGTACATACATAAAGAGATTTTACACCGTAGAACATAAAATGTGCAGTTTAATTTTGCAACAACCAAAGTTACTAATAAGTGATTAATAAAATAAAAATAATAATAATCTCAGACTAAACACTGTATTCATCTTTGGCTATACTGTATTGTACATCTATAATTAGCTTAATCTTACAAAAAAAAATATAATACATTTTTAATAATGATAAAATGTAATATTATGAATACAGTACTTATCATTATAATTGTACTTCAAATATAAAAGTAATGACATTACCTGAAATGGTTTGAGAAGCAGGTGCACAGTTAATTATTTTGTCATATAAATGCAATTACAAAAGTTAAACAATTTAAAATTAGTCTTACATTATAGATAAAAACACTCAAAGTACATTACTGTATATTAGAGGATATACAAACCCTTATTAACAAAAAGTTACAAAAAGAGATACAAAACAAAAATTAAAATACGGTACAGTATAGGTTAAAAGACAAAGTTTACAAGACAAAGCCTAATATTGCCAGACAAATATTACAATATACTGTATAACTCATATGACACAGGTTAAAAAAACTATTTATTTATTTGCAAGAAGGTACATGGATACTTTTGTTAAACATTTTTGTGATTATAGTAATTGGGACCATCTCGCATATAGGCACAAACAAGCATAGTGTTTCAGGTAAGTCATAAAGCTAGTTGAGCTTTATAAAGCTTCGTAAGCTTTATAGAGCTTCATAAAGCTAAATAGTTGATTTGTAGGTTAAAATGTGATGAGTCATTCTTAAAGAATTAAAGCTAGTGGCTGAAGACTATAGGGTCCCAGTAGTACTGTACCGTCGGGTTTGTTCTCATCTCACAATCAGGAATTCGGGTTCAAATACCAGGCGGGACAGAAATAGCTGGGCGCATTTCCTATCACCTAATGCCCTTTTCACCTAGCAGTAAAAAGGTACCAAGGAGTTAGTCAGCTTGTTGTGGGGTTGCATCCTGGAAAAGGTCAGTAATTTGACCCTGGAGAGGACTGCAATATAAATCTAACATATATTTACACTGGCTGCATATCCTCAACACAATGAATTAATGCGGGAGAACAGGACTGTACAGTATTACATCACATCTTCATAATTTTTACATATTATATTACAAATCCCATTAAGCCAATATTGTACTGACAAATGAGAATGTATCACAGCATTAACACCCATTATATTAATAGTAATACAGTACTGAATTAATGAAAAATACAAAAACACATATTATAAAACTAATTTATTTATTTATTTATTTATATATATACACAAGAAGGTACATGAGAGTACATAGCATGATGTGTTTACATTTTTGTAAAGCCACTAGTACGCATAGCGTTTCGGGCAGGTCCTTAACCTAACAGATAATATTAAGTAGGTAATTTCTAATAAAATTTATAAAATGTTAACAGGTACATTGTAAAAAAATTTGACAAGTAGGCACATTAAAGCACATTGATAGCTTTGATTGATAGCACTGATATCTTGATTGATAATTTGACAAAGATTAGTAAGCACATTGATAGCACATATAAGATGACAGCAATGATCACAATGGTATAGTTGTATGGCTTAGGTACATATATTGAGGGATTGGGTAGCACACAATATGTGTTCAATATAACAACCATGATATAAGATGATATCAATGATTACAATTGTAAAGTTATATGGCTTAGGTACATATATTGGGGGATTGAATAGCACTGGATACAGTGCGAATTTAAAATACTAGGTAGGAAACTATGAAGATAAAATTAGGTACTTTTTGTAGGTACTAATGACATACAGGAGCACAGGAGACTATATTATTGTATCACATCACTGCAAACATAGAGCAATCAGCTAATTATACAAACAGTATTTAAGTTATACATGTGGTAGCCATCTCTCAGTTACACATTGAGATGACTGTCCCTTAAGTTTACATAAAGTAACTGCCCCTCAGAGTTACACATCAGGAAATCGTATCTCAGCGTGTAATTTGCCCGAGGGCCACCATCTATTTAGTGGTCTTGATAGGAACAGGAAACCGATTGCATGTCAAAGATTGCACATTGTCCCTGAGGATTTTTTCAAACTGGAGTTTGAATTAGTATCTTTGCATTTACAACGTTGGTGGATAAGCAGTACCATGGGTTTATAACCCTATGGTTGAAAAAAGCATCTCCTGTTTTCTGTCCTATATTGTGGCTTTTGATTTATTGAGCGTGAAGCTGCTGCTCCCTGTATGTGGTACATATGATCTTTTAAAGAAGTAGTCTGGATTAATATCCTCCAAATTGTTCAGTATTTTAGGTCTTGATGAGATCAGCCCTGTCATGCCTGGTTTGCAATGTTGTTAGTCATGTGTCTCCCTCAACTGTTCCTGGTATGAGTCGACTTAGTTCTGGGATGATTTTTTTCACTATAGATTACCAGAATGGTTGAAAATTTGCTAATTTTCAATGACTATGACAATCTCAACAAAACAACCATATGAAGTTCCCATGTCACTGTAGATCACCAAGCTGATTAACTGACGAGACTTCAGTTGCTCCAGGTTGACTTGGTATTCAGTTAAAGTTGACATAGTTGTTAAAACCATTGAGATAAGAGATAGCAGCTGTATGGAGGAAGTCATACTGTTCCTGCCAAGTTTGATAAATAATTAATCGCTCACATATGTCAACAAAATATGAAATTAATACAAAATACATATAATTATTTTAAACAGTTATATTTAAATTACAGTATACCCTTCGTACTTTGAAAAAATAATATTCAGATAATGAAATAATATTAATGCCTGTTAAAAACCATAAGTAAGACTTCAGTCCCATATGGAACAAGAACAATTTAATCTTGCATTTCTGCTATTTCAACAAAATTTACATTACAAGATCTCTGGAGGTAATGGAGCAATGTCACTTACAATACTTGTGATGAACTGAGGTCTGTCATAGATGACACTGAGGACAGAGCGGTAGACGTCAACCTCCTGCACCAGCTTCATCCTGGCGACCAGCAGCAGCAGGGCCATCATCACTCCACACCCTGTCACCCCGTCCCTGTCAAATAGTGTTATAGTTATTATACACCAGCTGCAGCAAAGTTGTCAGTGGTTGAAGTTAGCAACAATATATATTTTTTAGTAAAGCTTTGCAGATTGAGCAAGTACTGTATTACAGGTCTAATACAGTACTGTATTAGAGTCCATAAAAATTACCCAATAATTTTTTGGGTAAGTTATATTATGTAATATGTAAATAAGGAAGAAACTAAATAGCAGTGAATGACGTACTTGCAAGTGAAGAGGGTGTAGCTCTGCATGTCAGCAGTGGACTCTGTTTTCTCTATGATGGCCAGCAGAGGATCTGGGGAGGCAGGCAGCAAGTCTTCATGAGGCCAACCTTTCATCATCAGCAGTTTACACTTATGGGGTACTGATAAACGCTGTCCAAATCATAAGACAAATCTTGTAACAAGTACCAAGAGAGCTAGATTACATTACACTTTAATGGTTGCAACAACTTTCAGTAAATATGTTTAACATGACGACTTAAGCACAACTTGCCAATAGTTGTTAAAATATCCTGAACATGCCAGGAAAGTATTTTCCATTAAATACTCATCAAGTATCCAAACTTACACACTGGGGCCCATGATTGTTCTGTAAAAACTTTAACTGACTGACTGGGACCTGGTAACTTATACACAGCACCATTAACTTAATGAATGAAGAACGAGAACTTCCACATAGTGCTGCCAACTTTCTTAATGAGGCAGTAAATTCCAAGTAGTACTGTTAAATTTCTGAAAGAGAGACTATATAAAACACCAGCGTGGACTGTAATTAAACACCATTTTCTGGTTAAGCCCCATAGGCTCCCTGGAGCTATCGGACTGATATACAGTATGCTATATTAGAATTGGGCATCAGTCAATTGGAGTTCAGCCTACTGGGGACCACGAGCCAGAACCTGGTCGCCTCAGAGAGGAAAAGGGAGCAATGGCCTATGGAAATCCCCATGTGTTTGGGAGCATTCCATGTCTGCCATCATCCAGGGTTAAGCACCCAGAAAGGTATAATATAATAAGGCATAATAATGCCTTATGTCATAATAATGACACCGAGCAAGCAGCGCCTGAAACCTAGGCTGGGCCGACCACCAAGGGGCCACGAGATGACTCTCCCGCCGTAAGATTGCAAATGAGCCAGAACCAGAAGCATCAGCTGGACCGGGAGAAAAAGGTACAGGTAACTTCACCTCGACCAGTCCTGCTGAAAGGCGTCAACTGCAGTGGCTCTGCAGTTGGGAAAGGGCGCCACATATATCAGAAGATGCCGAGACTACACCGACACGAAGAGGTCCACCTCCGGGATCCTGTATGTCCGGCAGAGCCAACTGAAGGAGTCGGTGTCAACCGTCCAATCTGTGGCCAGGGAAATGAACTGACACAGGCCATCCGCCAGGACATTGGACACTCGCCGGATATGAACCACACGGAAAGCCAAACCCTGAGAATCCAGAAGACAAGTCACTCAAAGCAACCAGCCCCAAAGAGGAAAGAACCAAAGAGAACCCCTGCGGTTCAGACAATGAACCACTGGAGAGCAGTATGAATAGAGTCGGATCGTGGAACCCTGAGTGACCCGAACCCTCTGAAGTGACAGCCAAACCACCACAAACTCTCTCACCATGCTGTGAGCCCATCAGAAGGAAGGCGCCCACCGCCCCTGGTCGGCCTGGTAAGCACTGGTCACAAAGACCCAGCCGAGAGACAAGGCATCTGTGAACACATTGAGCGAGGGCTTGGGTAGGCGCCAAGGCACTGAACCCAAAAAAACCAGAAGAGGAAGCCGACGACACAGCAACCGATGCAAGGCCCTCGGAGGCCGAACCCAGCAATCACGAGAAATGTGGAAGGGATGGCCTTGAAGGAACCAAAACAGATGCCAAAGTCAGACCCGGCCCGGTGGGTAAACCAGCACAGCAAAGTTCAGACTCCTGCACAACTGCTTGAACAACCATTGAGTGATCCAGGACCCCCCTTCAAAAAAAAAAAAAAAAAAAAAAAAAAAAAAAAAAAAAAAAAAAAAAAAAAAAAAAAAAAAAAAACAGCTTAAGGCAGGATCACAGCTCAGCATCGCCTCTGGAGGCATTGCTGAGGTTGCGCCTCAAGGAAGCGGTTCGAAAATTCCACACAAGGCCCATCTAGGTCCAAACCTGGGCTGGAACCAGATGGGACTTCCTCCAGTTCACCAGGAACCTGAACCCGGCAAGCTGGGAAAAAATCACACCCCTGGCCCCTGGCGAGCAGGCGAGCAGACAAGCAGACCAGCCTAGCAGGAAGGCCACCAAAATACCATAAGTGGTCCAATAGCCAAACAAGGCAGACCCCCTACATGGTAAAGAAAACAAAAATAAAAGTAAAACCCCGCAAAAGTACGTCACCAGAAGGAACAGGAACACGGCCGGTGCATAGGTAGACAAGCTGTGCAGTACCTTGTGCTCCAACCAGCAACAATACCACTTCTTACCCAAGGCCAAACAAAGGCTACAAAAACCCTAGTCGGCTCCAAGGGCAGGGTAAATGCCGAGCAGCAACAACAACCCCTTTTAAAATACAAATATTTATTCAGGTAAAGTACATACATACAAGGTAAGATTCAAAAGTTGATGGATTTATAGATAGAGCTAGTACATACAATGCCTAAAGCCACTATTACGCAAAGCGTTTTGGGCAGGAAAAACACTAAGACTAAAACTTAATACAAATTGAGATTAAAGTATAAATTGTGATGAGAAAAAATAAGAAAAAATGGAAAAAAGGGGGGGGGGGAACCATGGCAGAAAAAAAGCAAAAATACAATTTGGTCAACAAACAGCATTGTTTAAAATGGAGTCCCGAAGGCCCTGTGGAAGGTAACCCTAGACCCAAGGGTAGTATGTACAGGGTGCATAGGGAAGGCAGCCCTAAGCACATGCAGCCCCAATACTCTAATTTCACCTGACCACTGCACCACAAACAGCAGGTTACACCACTAAGGCAGAAGTACTGCCAAGAAATTGAGGCCAGAGTCAATGACCGCCCCAGAGCGCATCAGCCTTATGAACTGGAGATGTAAATAACTGGCACAGGGAGGCCTAGGGTTCCCTTCTCCCCCTCCTAGGGAGGAGAGGGCTGTGCGGACAAGCAGCACGGTGGTGGTGTATGTTGTTTGCTAGTTTCTTTGGGTTGGGGGAGTTCTGCCTCTCTGTTCGGTGTTTGGTTGCAATTTTCTTACCAAGTGGGGTCTGTTTTGTTATGCCTACCTTTCTGGGTGCCTAACCCTGGTTGATGGGAGACATGGAATGCTTCTAAACACACGGGGGTTTCCACAGGCCATTGCTTCCTTTGCCTCTCTGAGGGGGGCCAGGTTCTGACTTGTGGTCCTCGGTAGGCTGAACTCCAATTACCTGATGCGTTAGACTAACATAGCGTATATCAGTCCGATAGTTCCAGGGAGCCATGGGGCTTCCTCACAGAAAATAAATTTTTATCTCTAAATAAATAAAATATTGACAGACCACCAGTTTCCTGTCCTCATCGAGGCCACTAGTATGTTAGTGGTCTTCAAGGAAAATTCAGGTAGTTTATTTATATTTTCTGTGCTATTAATTTATCATAAAACCCCTGAGGAATGTTCACAGAATCCAGGTTGTAAAACTCTGAACTTCTCCATATATCTTGTAACTTACTGACTGTGGTGCAGTGGGCAACATTTTCAGTTAACAACTGAGACTCCAGTGTTCGATCCCCAGACATAATAATAATAATATAGAACAAAAACCCACACTCGTGTATTTGTGAAATTTATGTAAGGAATTTACACCAAGTCTTTCGCACTCTCCTGAGTGCTTTGTCAAGGTCTGAGTGTGTAGTTAGGATGAGACTTACATCTCAACGTCTAATGAGGCTGCTATCCTGGGTCCAATCCCCTTATCCTTCTTGACCGCCTGACCATGTCACTTCTATTCCCAACTGGTGATGTACCTGCGATAATATCGTCTACGGAAATATGGTCATGTATCCTTTCTGTAATCCTGCTATTCTGGGAACTGGACTGTTATTAATAGAGGTGTTTATCTGGATGCTATACCTCATAACCCTCTCCATACCCAAAGGAACACTGCTAATGGGACTGCTTTCACTCATCCATTTATTGAGAACTAATTTTAAATCACTCGGAATCATTTTCCTAGTAAAGCTTTAAAGAAGTAAAGCTTTTGTTTCCAACAAAAGTATTGAGAGTATTTATTAGAACCCCTTCCACCACCCTTCTAATTCTAATAACAAATACCATAGTTGAGATAAGGATAGATGAGAGAGTAATAGAGTGTCACCAGGGCAGGGCGAGGTACATAATATCTGATCTTAGAAAGAATGCAAACAGTTTTTGAAACTTTTTTTTTTATATATTTAGAATGTGTCCCAGGAAATTCAGCTTGCGGTCAATGAGAACACCAAGGAATTTGCCATCTACTTTGTTTTAAATTTGGGTACTCTATTGGGGTCAGGACTGGAGTAAATGAAGGTCGTGTCGTCAGCAAATAGAATTGGTTTGAGATGTTGGGAGGCATTTGGGAGGTCATTAATGTAGATGAGACAGAGGAGAGGGCCAAGTATGCTGCCCTGGGGAACACCAATGTTGATGGGTAGGGTGGGAGAAATTGAATTATTCACAGAAACATATTGGAGTCTGTCAGTAAGGTAAGACTTAAGGTACTGCAGGGAGTGACCTCTGACTCCATAATGTTGTAATTTAAGAAGAAGGTTTTGGTGGTTGACAGTGTCAAAAGCCTTACGCAGGTCCACAAATAACCCAATAGGGAACTCATTTTTATCAAGAGCTGCATGTATCAAGTTAATCATACAAATAAGTGCATCGTTAGTGCTTTCTTGGGGTCTGAAGCCATATTGACAAGAGCTAAGTATATTGTGTTTGGCTAGATAAGAGTAAAGCTGCTTGTAGATAAGTTTTTCAAATATTTTAGAAAAGTTTGGCAGAATTCATATAGGTCTGAAGTTGTTAACATCAGTGGGGTCACCATATTTGTGGACAGGGGTTATTCTCGCTTATTTATATAAACATATATAATATATAAACACCTTCTGGATTTCTATCCTCTCCTACTCTATTCTTACTAATCCTGTCCTTAATTGTATTTGGGTAATTGAAAACGATTTTATAATTATTATGTGACTTTATCATCCTTAATTGATCTCATCTCTTTAAGACATAACTGTAACATGCTCGTGTCTGACGCTAGACACAAAAAAACAAAATTATTAATGATGGTAACAGAATCTATTTCATGTAATTACCTAAGTGTAATTACCCAAGTGTAGTTACAGGATGTGAACTACGCTTGTAGTGTCCCGTCTTCCCAGCACTCTTTGTCATATAATGCTTTGAAACTACTGATGGTCTTGGCCTCCACCACCTTCTCACCTAACTTGTTCCAACCGTCTACCACTCTGTTTGCAAAAGTGAATTTTCTTATATTTCTTCGGCATCTGTGTTTAGCTAGTTTAAATCTATGACCTCTTGTTCTTAAAAGTTCCAGTTAAAAATTCAGTTGAAAAAAATGCTTGTGGGGGGGGGGGGACCTTTCATAAGTTCATAAGGTACTTGCTTCTTATTCCCATTGAGGCCACTAGAAAGATAGTGGCTCTCAGGTTTATTCAGGTACTGTATATGCCAGGTGGAGTTGAGGCAGGGTGCGGTGGAAAACATAGAGGGGTGTGGTGGTGAGCAACATACCAGGTTGTGTTGAGGCAATGTGTGCAGCTGAATCCATACTGGGACTCGTCTCTCGTACACCAGTCTCCACAGGTTTCCAACAGTGTGCGGCAGAGGGTGCTCTCCAGCCAGGTATGCATCCTGTTCAACATATTGGTATTTTATTATATTTTATTATATTTTACAACAATATTCAACATATTGGTATTCAACTGGTATTTTATGGTCCTGTACATCATGGTTACTATTTAGTGTATAATATGTTCCCTTATAACATGATCACTGATATAATGATCCTGTACAATGTGACCAATGATATAATATAGTCTTGTACAACATGATTACAGTACTTATACTTTATGATCCTTTACTACATATTTACTGATATGAAATGATCCTCTACTACATTATCACTGATATAATATGGTCTGCTACAATATGATCACTACAAGAAGAGCATATATATATGCTCTTCTCCATGTTCACTGGTATAAAATGCTTGAACAAAAAAATAATTTTATAATATTGTTCTGTTTAATGTGATCACTAGTATAAAATGGTACTGTTCAACATCATCACTCTTTGCATTAAATAGATGTTCATGGTTTTCATTATTTTTGAAGTTCAATGTGGTGACAAAAATCATCCCAGGACTAAGTCAACTCTCTTTACAGCAATGGCTGAGGGATTAAAGACTAACAACACTATAGGGAAAACCACTAGCTAGGGTCAGAACCCTACATTGTTCAGTATTACGTTGGATCTTTCATCCATTTTAAAAGTCTGTCTATATTATCTTATAGGCATTTTGTGCTCTCTTGATTTATTTTGCACCTTATTATAGAGGGCACCAAGTCTTATAATTCATTTATTTGTATTTTTTCCCACATCTTGCCCAAAACGCTGTGCGTATTAGTGGCTTTAGGCTTGGTATATACAAGCTCTATTTAGAAATCCAACGTTCTGCTTGTAACTCAATATTCCTTAACCAAACTAGAAATACTCTACAAATCAAGGGGCCCAGAATGTGGAATGACCTTCCCAATCATGTCAAAGGCTGTACCTCTCTCAACCAGTTTAAGATGAAAACTAAGTACTACCTAATTAACTCCATGTAACCTACCTTACCCCTAAATGTCAACCCATGTCTTACTATTTTTAAACAATGTTGTTTGTTGACCAACTTTTATATTTGCTATTTTCTACAATGTTCCCGCCTTTTATACCTTTTATTTTTTTCTTTCAATGCAATTTATACTTTGAGCTCAATTACTATTAAGTTTTAATCTAAGTGTTTTTTCCCCACCTCACCTTGCCCGAAAAGCTATGCATACTAGTGGCTTTAGGTATTGTATGTACTAGCTCTATCTATAAATCCAACATTATGTTTGTAACTAATCTTCTATGTACTGTATGTACTTTTACCTGAATAAACATTTGATATGATTTGATTTGACTTAGTTTTTATCTTAAACTGGTTGACAGAGGTACAGCTCTCTCTTATGTGAGAGTTATAGTGGATCTTTGATAGAAGATCGACTATATGACACTTATTTATTTATTTATTTATTTATTTATTTATTTATGCATATACAAGAATGTACATAAGGAATGTGAGGATACAATTATGGTAATTACAGTCTTGTAAAGCCACTAGCACGCGCAGCGTTTCGGGCAGGTCCTTAATCTAAGAAAATTTTAAGGAGGTAAATACTTGCAAAATTTATAGACAAAAAAATGATAACAGATTACATGGAATGAAAAAAAAAAAGATGAGAGAAAATTATAGGTACAGTATATTAAAGCACATAGGTAGCTATGATTGATTGCAATGACAGCTTAAAATGGTAGTTGACAACAAATTGGTAGGCACAATACAGCAGAAACAATATAAGATTGATTGCAATGACAGCTTGAATGGTAGTTGACAAAAATTGGTAGTCACAATACAGCATATGGCTAGCACATAAAAGAAGACAGCAATGAACACAATGATAAGGTTGTTTGATATTACATAAAAATTAGGAGATTGGGTACCACTAGGTACAGAGCAAATTTAAAGCTCAGTGTAGGAAACTAAATAGATGAAGTTAGGTACTTTTTGGTTTTGCTTTTAAATAAGGCAAAAGTTTTACAGTTTTTCAATTCACTAGGGAGTGAGTTCCATAGACTAGGTCCCTTAATTTGCATAGAGTGTTTACACAGATTAAGTTTGACCCTGGGGATATCAAAGAGATATTTATTTCTGGTGTGGTGATAATGGGTCCTATTACATCTGTCCAGGGAGAGTTTCAGAGCATGGTTTGCATTTAAGAACAGGGTTTTGTAAATGTAGTTGACACAAGAGAATGTGTGGAGGGAGTTAATATTTAGCAAGTTTAGAGATTTAAACAAGGGAGCTGAGTGTTGTCTGAAAGCAGAGTTAGTTATTATTCTGATAGCAGATTTTTGCTGTGTGATGATGGGCTTAAGGTGGTTTGCAGTGGTAGACCCCCATGCACAGATACCATAATTAAGATAGGGGTAGATTAGTGCATAATATAGTGAGAGGAGAGCAGAGTTAGGAACATAATATCTGATTTTGGAGAGTATACCAACTGTCTTAGAGACTTTCTTAGTTATGTGTTGAATGTGGGTGCTGAAGTTGAGTCTCTTGTCTAGGAATAGGCCAAGAAACTTGCCATCATTTTTATTACTGATGTTAATGTTGTCTATCTGTAGCTGAATTGCATTTGATGATTTGCTTCCAAATAAGATGTAGTAAGTCTTTTCGATGTTTAATGTTAGTTTGTTCGTTGACATCCATAAGTGGACTTTTTTTAATTCATTATTCACAACATTATTTAGTGTATGTGGGTTGAGGTTTGAGTAGATAAGGGTAGTATCGTCAGCAAACAATATAGGTTTGAGAATATTAGAGACATTAGGCAGATCGTTTATATATATAAGAAATAGAAGAGGTCCTAAGATGCTGCCCTGTGGCACTCCAACGGTAATTGGTAGAGTGGAAGAAGTTGTATCATTGATGGTTACATATTGGTGTCTGTCACTAAGATAGGATCGGATGTAGTCAAGGGCAAGGCCTCGGATTCCATAATGCTGGAGTTTAAATAAGAGGTAGTTGTGATTAACAGTATCAAAGGCTTTTCTTAGGTCAATGAAGAGTCCAATCGGAAACTCATTTTTGTCAAGGGCTGAGTAGATAATGTCAAGGAGACTAATGATTGCATCATTGGTACTCTTTTGGGACCGGAAGCCAAACTGGCAGGGGCTGAGTATGTCGAATTTTACGAGGTAGGAATAGAGCTGTTTGTAAATAATTTTTTCAAATATTTTTGATAGAATGGGTAGATTTGATATTGGTCTATAATTGTTTATGTCCGCCGGATTGCCTCCTTTATGGACCATGGGAGGCTCTCTTGTACACAATGGACGGAATTTCACTGGTGTTCCCTGCCTTGGTTTTTAGAGAGTGTATGATGGACACAACATCTGCCGGGCTGATTGGTGAAAGGAGAAGAGAGTTTGGATAGCTGCCTGAGAGATATGTGTTAATATGTGTCTGAGTCTGTGGGATTTTACTGGCAAGATTAGCACCAACCGATGAAAAGAATACAATACTGCTGACCCCGGACAATGAAGGCTGACCTACCTTCTGGTCAATGCCATTGACCCTGACCACATTGATGTACTGGGATTCGAGGCCACCACCCAAGTTCTGTAGGAACACCATCCTTTTGTCCGCTGGCCAACATAAAACAGGTAGTCTTATTATTATATTTATTGTTACCAGCATTATTGTACTGTATATCCATTTTAATCACAACTTTAAATAACTAGAAAAATGTTCTTTTTCCTGCTCAGACAGATACACGTTAGTCAAACCTAAGCATTATTTTTATACATTTTCATATACTGTACAGTATGTTAACTTACTTGCATTTCATAATGTTATATACATAATACTCAAAATGTAACAGCTAAACATTAAACTTTAGGTTTCTCCGAAACACAGCAAATGGTATACTGTAGTAGGTTTATAAAAATATAAATGCCTACTATGCAATTATTAACATTATTATTACTACAACTAGTAGTAGTAGTAGTAGTAGTAGTACTTGTACAGGTGAGCACAGGTCAAGTCAAAACTTACCTGGCAGAATGTTAAGGTTCCTGTTCAGGTGAGCACAACGTGGATTGTTGCCAAATTTGAAGCTCAAGTCCTTGGGTAAGCTCTTAAGGTACTGCAAACAATAACACAATACAGTAACATCATTAAGTATAAGCCTAAAAATATACACTTCAATACACTCATTATTTTAGGTTGGTTATCTTAGGTTTATCTTTCATTATCTTACCACATGGTGCAGTGGTAACACACTCAACCCGTGCTTTGTCAGAGATTTGGCCTGGGTTTGTATCTTGGCTGGGGAGGATTGACTGGATCCCAATCCTTAACTGTACACCTCTATTCACCCAGCAGTAAATGGGTACTTGGTTGTTAAATGATTTGGCAGGTCATATTCCAAGGAAAAGTATGATTAAGAACCTACCTGAAATACTATGTGTGCTAGTGGCTTTACATGAATGTAGAATTCTTGTATATATATAAATAATAAAAAAAGGTTATACCCAAAATGCTGCACATAATTAATTGTTTTATAAAATATACAAATACTGTCCCTACTAAGTAACCAATGTAATTTGATCCCATATTTTTTACAAATTATAATTATAAATAAAATACAGTACTATTATATGCATGTATTACATGCATATAATACACATATTATGTTTACCGAGTATGTATTAGACTGCTGAAGTATTGAATAATCTTATTGGTTGAGGTTGTGCAATGTTGCCTACAGCAGTAAAAGAGAGTGCTTCATGCCAGTACAATGACAGCCTGAGGAGAATGACACAAATAATAATCTTAAGGTGCTGGGAGAACACTACAGATTACTAAAGGTATAAACTAGAAAAGACTGCGAAGAGATATTGGGTAATAATCTGACAGTTTATTGGCAGATCCTGTGTGTATTAAGCGGTCCTCACTGTGTAGTATAAGTCAGAGGACTATTGAGTTTAGGCCTGGTGATTCCCATGGTATAGATCTCCCACTATAATGTAGTGGTGCTGGTGTTGGTTTAGGGGAGGGTACAGTATACCTGGAGAATACATAGAGAGGATTCTGGGAATTCTTCTACTCGTCAAACCTGGCCTGGCACCAGGCTTGACTTTTGATAACTTGGTCCAACAGGCCTACACCACTCTGCTTGGAGCAGAGTGTAGGTCTGCATATCCACTACAACCCTGTTGGTCCAGCAATTATTGCAGGAACTTGTCAAATTTTTTATTGAATATGTTTGCTATTGTTTTAGCAATGGGTGTTAACTTTGGTGGGAGGATATTAAATAGCTGTGGACCTGAGATGTTCATACAGTGGTCTCTGATTGTGCCTCTGGTATCTCTATTCTTCACTGAATATATATATATTTATATACACAAGAAGGTACATTAGGTTTATAAGAGTACATAGCATTGATGATTTTACATTCTTGTAAAGCCACACTAGCACGCATAGCGTTTTGGGCAGTTACTGACACATACGGGCAGGCACACATAGCGTTTCAGGACTTACAATATGCTCCAGTATGTGCTGCTGCTTCTGCTGGTGTTAGAGGGTGGGTTGTGCTGGGGTTAAGGGGTTGTGATGTTGTTACTTTGTTGCTACTAGTGCTGGGCTGATGCTGGAATACCATACATCTCACCTGAAACTGCTGGAGTATGATGGAAGTGTTGGAGGGAGGGTGAGGAAGACGCAGGTCCTCCACCACTTCAGGAAATTTGTCACAGGTATAGCTGGTGGTGATCCCCGACAACACTTCCTGTAGCAACTGATGACTGAAGATGTACTGTGCCTGTAACACAGAACTTGTGTCTTAGTATCACACTTCCACAATCCCATAATACCACATTACCAAAATCATAGTCTCACTACAACATAATTTTATTATATTTTTATGGATTTAGTTCACCGGAAGTTTTATATAATGTCAACTGGGAGTCCGAGTTAGGTAACATAGGGGACATCAACCTAGCAGTGAAATCTTTTCTACAAACAACTCTTAGCCTTTATAACACCCACTGTCCTATGCTTACAAAACAAGTCACAAGCAAAAGACTTAACAATCCTTGGCTTACAAAGGGAATACTTAAATCCATTAACAAAAAACATGACCTTGAGAAGAAGTATAGGCTAGGAACAGTCTCCAAAGAATTCTCAAAGAATTACTCGTTATTCCTATCTAAAATAATTAGACGAGCCAAAACTAAATACTATGAAGATAAATTTACCCAAATAAAGAGCAACATTAAAAAAACTTGGAGCACAATTTCACAAATATTGGGATCAAAGAAGATTTTAAATAACAAACCAACACTCCTTTCCAATAACGTTGGTCAGCTTTCAGCCTCTGATTCTGCTATTGAGTTCAATAGGTTCTTCTCTTCCATTGGGTCATCCCTTGCAAATGATATTCCATCTTCCTGTACTGATGTTAAGGACTATCTTACAGGTAACTATCCACAGTCTCTGTACCTAAAGCCTACTAGTTCCACTGATGTCAATGAAATAATCCTTTCCCTTAAAACCAAGTCTAGTGCCCTCGAGGAGATACCAACTTTAATTTACAAAAAAGCCTCCAGATCTCTAGCCCCTGCTATTGCATTGCTCTTCAACAAGTCACTTGAACTCCAAACCTTTCCTGACATTCTAAAAAAAGCAAGAGTAACCCCTGTCTACAAATGTGGTGATCTCACTGATGTTAACAACTAGACCTATATCAATCCTGCCTAACTTGTCAAAAATATTCGAAAAGCTAATCTACAAGCAGCTTTACTCTTTTCTAGCCAAACACAATATACTTAGCTCTTGTCAATATGGCTTCAGACCCAAAAAAAGCACTAACGATGCACTTATTAGTATGATTAACGTAATTCACGCAGCTCTTGATAAAAAGGAGTTTCCTGTTGGGTTATTTGTGGACCTGCGTAAGGCTTTTGACACTGTCAACCATCAAAACCTTCTTCTTAAATTACATCATTATGGAGTCAGAGGACACTCCCTGCAATACCTCAAATCTTATCTTACTGACAGGCTCCAGTATGTTTCTGTGAATAATACAATTTCTCCCACCCTACCCATCAACATTGGTGTTCCTCAGGGCAGCATACTTGGCCCTCTCCTCTTTCTCATCTACATTAATGACCTTCCAAATGCCTCCCAACACCTCAAACCAATTCTATTTGCTGACGACACAACCTTCATTTACTCCAGTCCTGACCCCCTTGCTCTAAATGCCACAGTAAATACTGAGCTAGAGAAAGTCCATCTTTGGCTAACTGCCAACAAACTCACCCTTAACATTGACAAAACGTTTTATATTCTGTTTGGCAATAAATCCTCTAATCAGATAAATCTCAAAATAAACAATACCCAAATTTGTAACAAATTAGATGGCAAATTCCTTGGCGTTCTCATCGACCACAAGCTGAATTTCCAGGGTCACATTTTAAATATATCAAAAAAAGTTTCAAAAACTGTTGGCATTCTTTCTAAGATCAGATATTATGTACCCCGCCCTGCCCTGGTTACTCTCTATTACTCCCTCATCTATCCATACCTCAACTATGGTATTTGTGCTTGGGGTTCTACTACCCAAAATCATTTACGTCCTCTCATTACCCAACACAAAGCTGCTATTAGGACAATAACCAACTCTGGCCCCAGACATCACTCGGTACCCTTACTCAAATCTCTGAATATGTTAGATATTAAGTCACTGCACATTCTCTCTTGTGTATTATACATATATAAAACGCTGAACTGTAATGCCAATCCTGACCTCAAAAGCTTCATTGAAGGTTGTAACAGAACCCATGAGCACCACACCAGGAATAAATACAGTTTTGATATTCCTAGAGTACGACTTAATCAAACTAGAAATGCTCTACAAATCAAGGGACCCAGAATGTGGAATGACCTTCCCAACCATGTTAAAGACTGTACCTCTCTCAACCAGTTTAAGATAAAAACTAAACAATACCTAATAAATTCCCTGTAACCCACCTCCCTCCTTTATTGTCAACCCATGTCTGTTATTTTATTTTATTATTATTTTTTTTTTTTTTAATCAACACTGTTTGTCAACCTATTGTATTTGTGCTGCTTTTTCAGTCATGTTCCCCCTTTTTTTTTATCTTTATTTGTATTTGTTTTCAACACTTTTTATTCTTTATGCTCAATTAGTATTAAGCTCTAGATATTAATGTTTTTCTTGCCCGAAACGCATTGCGTAATAGTGGCTTTAGGCATTGTATGTACTAGCTCTATCTATATATCAATCCATTAATGTAACATCACTTGTATGTATGTACCTTACCTGAATAAACATATTTATTTATTTTATTTATTTTATTTAAGAGTTAAGCTATTCATATTGCTGGATTAACTCAAGCTGACTGAGTTCAACAGGAAGACATAACTTCCTCATTTTAATTAACATTTGTGAACTAATTGGGTCGAAGGCATATACTGTATGCGTTTATTTTGTTATTTATTTATGTATAAGAAAGTACAATGCACTGTTATTATTATAATTATTATTATTATTATTATTATCCACCCAGCCCCTCTGTTTAAGGAGCACTTGAGAACCTTTATCACTGCTCCTTTGGATTTTCTCATTTGATGCAGTCACGTTAGTGTGATAACTCTGTGTATTATTATTATTATTATTATTATTATTATTATTATTATTATTATTATTATTATACATACATACCAATATTAGCTCAATAACCCTGTAGGTGATTCACCACCTCTACTACCCACTAAATGAGGGTGGTTCATTACCTCTAGTACCTACCAAATGAAGGTGACGTGTTATTTCTACTGCCCACTAAGTGAAGGCAACTCATAACCAATACTATACACTAAATGAAGATGATATTACCTCCAATATTTACTAGGTGAACATGACCACGACTACTACCCACTATGTGTAAGTGACTCGCCTTGTTCTCCACTAGCCTGGGTCGTCCATTTCTTAGCATGATGAGGGCTTGGTGAGGGTCCAAGTACCCAGAGGAATTTAGTTGATCCATCATGAGCAGCACCAGCAGCACTGATCCTGACCGCCCGATACCTGCACTGTGGGCAGATGAACTCTCAGATACAGTCCTATGAAGAAGAACTCTCAGATACAGTCCGCTGATGAAGATGAACTCTTAGATACTGTACAGATTCTTGATAATATAAACTTGATGATTCTTATGATCTGTAATACATAACTGTTAGTTGAGATATCTTTATACAGCATCAGACAATAATGGGGCCTGGGAATACACCTACAGTGGACAGTAATGAGGACTAGAAACATATCTACAATGGATAGTAATGAGGACTGGAAATATACCTGCAATGGATGGTGATGAGACCTCAGTAGTTACCTGCAGTGAACGATTAGAGGGCCAGTGGAAGGCTCCTTGGGAAGGTGCTTGATCATTTGTGCCAGACCGTAGGGATTCTGTGGCACTCCATGATCTGGCCAGGCTGTGTACTGGTACTGCTTTACCTGTATGGGCACAAAATATACTGAATCAATGGTTTGCATCCCTTACATTCATTTTATGCAAGGTGGTGAACAAATTGATGTAAGATGACTGAAACATCTAAGGAATAGCAAGGCCTGTAACAGCTGTACATATACTACTAATGTAAGGCTAAACACTAGTAGCCTTATGCAGGCGATGAGTCACAATAACGTGGCTGAAGTATGTTGACCAGACCACACACTAGAAGGTGAAGGGACGACGACGTTTCAGTCCGTCCTGGACCATTCTCAAGTCGATTGTCAATAGACTTGAGAATGGTCCAGGATTGACCGAAACGTCATCGTCCCTTCACCTTCTAGTGTGTGGTCTGGTCAACTAGTAGCCTTAACTATTAGTGTTTACTAGTAGTTAAACTTGCAGTGAAGCTTACAACGATGCTAAATATTGGCTTAGTTTCACATGTACATATTCGCTTGCACTACAACTTACCACTAATACACAGAAAAATATAAGGATAACTCTCTGTGGTTCAAACACAGTAGCCCTTTAATAGATACTAGAAATGCTACGAGTAAGAACTAGGACATACACTTCAACACTAATTACCTGAGGGCCATCATCTCTAAAGGGTTCAATTGGAACAGGAATCCAGCAGTTTGTCAAAGGTCCTCACATTATTCCTGAGGATTTTTTTCCAGCTGAATTTTAAACTGAAGTATTCTCTTTGCATTTGCAGCTTAGGCAAGTAGGTGATTCCATGTGTTTATTACTCTATGGGTGAAAAATTATCTCCTGTTTTCTGTCCTACATTGTGGCTTGTTGAGATTGGAACTGTGTGTTCATTACATTGGACTCTTTAAAAAGTTGTCTGGATTAATATCTTCCAATTCATTTATTATATTAAAAATTTCATGAGATCAGCCCTGTCATGTCTGGTTTGTAGTGTTGTTAGTCCTAATGGCTTCAGTTGTTCCTGGTAATGAAGTTGATTTAGTTCTGAGATGATATTATTAATGTGTTGAACTTTCTCCAAAGTAGATATGTCCTTTTGAAGTGAATTGCCCAGTTATCAATGATTTGAGACCAAATGGCATAAGATACTTTGAGCTTTGAAAATATTTCACTCACTGATCAACCTGTCCTCTTAAAAAGAATGTCGCTTTTGGCTGTTTACCCGTATGGCCGAATTTGGACGCAATTTGAAAATGAAAAAAAATGAAAATAAATTTGGGACTTTTTTTCAACAACAGTAAGTTAAAGGTCCTCTGATAGGTTAGGTGGGCAGGAAATTCTCATAAAGTTTCAAAACGGTATGAAAAACATTAATGGAAAGTTTCCTTTTCTAACCTTGCCGAGTGGGCTGGACGACTCAAACAGAAAACGGAACAGTATGTCACTTTTGTGAGTTGATTTCATTTCAAATTACGTCCAAATCTGGCCATAGCGCGCATTCGAGTGAAAAGTGACGTTATTTTTAAGAGGACGGGTTGCACTGATAATGGAAGATGTTCTTATACTCGACCCAAAAATTTGCTAATGCAGGATAGTAGTCTCACATCCCGTGTTTTTTTTAAAGTCTATGTATGACTAACTGTCCTGTATGATGGAGATATTATATGAACTTTTCAAATTAAAAAATTCTAATTTTTATTCAGGTAAACTACATACATAGATCAGCCCGTCCTCCAAACAAAGATCCAAAAGTGATTCCATGCACCCGCCAAACCCCCTGTTTATGAATGAAAAGTGGCTTACACACTGTGGCTTAAAAGAATAAATAAAGAATAGTGGCTTAAAAATGGCTTCTTCCCCAAGGGAAGAAGGCATTGAATGTCAAATATCTCTTCCTCCTTCCTAGTAAATATCAAATCTAGCATGGAGGGAATGTCCCCTTCCCTCATCCTAGTGGCTTGTTTAACATGTTAATACAAGAATGTTTCCCGGATGAGGTCTACAAATTTACAGGTCCAAAAGTCCTCTGTTCTAGCTTCATATGCTTCCCAGTCTATGGATTTCAAGTTGAAGTCGCCGACTTACAACAATCGTGATCTATCTTTATCCGCTCTTGCTATAATCTCTCTCATTATTGTTATAAGACCCTCTTATTTACTATCTAGCTCCTCCTTTGTCCATGTGTTGCTTGGCGGTGGACTATATGCATTTATGATCATTAGTTTATCATCCTCATGGCAGATCTCTACTGCTATTACATCAACTTCTCGTGGATTGGCAATCATTATTTTATTTACCTTTAGGTGTTCTTTCACCAGCACAGCAACGCCACCACCTTTCCTAATTTTTCTGTCCCGTCTCCAAACTGAGTAGCCCCTTGGGAATATGATCTCATTTAAAATAACATCTTCAAGTTTTGTCTCGTGAGTGCAACAATTTCTGGTGTCTGCAGCTGTATTACATCACTTAACTCTAGTATCTTCGATCTCACTCGTCTACATTAATGTATACAATTTTCAGGAACATGTTCCCCCTCCCCTTATTCTTCACTACCCCTCTCTCTTGCAATTTTGTAGGTTTGCCTTTTTGTATCATTTTACTGGCCTGCCTATCCTTATCACTTTGTAGAAAAAAGAATTGATTTCTTGTTCGTTTCTGCTCTCATTTAGATGTTTTACCTCTACGAGGTTTAGCTTCAGCTTCTCTCTGTCTTCTCTTGAAAGATCTCGTCTTAACGACCACACTTTCCCATTCTCATCACTTTGTAATTTTCTAGCATTCCTTAGTACTTCTTCCATCTGTTTGGCACCGTTTAGGGTGATCCTCAAAGGTCAATCTTTTTCCTTTTACATACCTGCCTGTTCTCCTGTAGTCGCACACATTCTCTATGGTAGTGTGCATATATATTTTTGTATATACGTACAGAACAGTATATTATGTTATCTCAGTTTCTTCAAGAGAAACACAAGAAATACCAGAAATAAATATCTCTTTGATATCCCCAGAGTCAGACTAAATCTGTGCAAACACTCCATGCAAATAAAAGGGCCCAATCTTTGAAACTCACTCCCTGATGAATTAAAAATTTGTCCAACCCATGGCCTGTTCAAAAGTAAAATAAAAAAGTACCTAATTTCATCCTCATAGATTCCTACCTTGCACTTCAAACTCACATTGTGTCTTGTACTACCCACTTCTCCAATATTAGTAGTACTTAAGACATGTATCCTTACCAGTGTAATCACCGCTGTCAACTTATGTTGTAGTTATTTGTTGATATAAAAACCTTGCTACAATGTACCCTTTCATCTTATCTGATATGTTAGATTTAAGGACCTGCCCGAAATGCTATGTGTATTAATGACTTTGCATGAATGTGAAAATACCAATCCTATGTAATCTCACCAACCCATTGCACCTTCTTGCAAATAAATTATTATTAATAGTAGCAGTAGCAGTATTATCTGAGCACTTATATTTGCTGCACTCACCTCTCTCACTTCCATTTTTTTGGAAACTTCCAATGTTCGAATGATAAAGTCCACCTGATAAATACAAGAAATTAATTATATTAATATGCCATTCTAATACATGTGTATTTATTCTCATAATGAAATGAATGAATGTACAACAGAGAGAGAGAGAGCAGAGTGGGTTGAATCTGTTTAATATAAAGAGACAATGTAGTAGATAAAATGAGTAAAATTCATATTAAAACATGTCCCTGAAGACAGCTGACCTTGTTCTCTGTAGAGACGAGTTTGATCTCAATGCCGTCCTTAACCAGAGGATGACCTTCCTCTGGCCAGTACTGTGCCACCTTGACCTGGAAACAATGTACAAAAGTTTTAAGTCAAGTCATCTGTCCTCATAACACTTTTCATTATGGTGGCAATTCACCCTGTTGTGTTCTGTGAGACTGAAATTGATGGAAATATATAAGATACAGTACTTACTTGCATTTTCCCAGAGATTAATTAGTAACCCAGGGCTTTAGTTGATACCCCTAAGCTTGCTTGATACCACAGGATTTATTTGGTGCTTAGGACCAATAGAGAGCTTGAAAGAATTAGTTAGCACTAGCTAACTAATGGAACCTCAGCATCTATATAGGTAAATTCAGATATAGATGGGTGAAAAAGCATCTGTTTTCTGTCCTACATTATTGCTTGTTGAGCTTGATGTTGTTGCCCCTTGTATATGTTACATTTAACATTTTTTAAAAGTGGTTTGGATTACCATTCTCCAACTTGTCCAGTATTTTAAAGGTATTGATGTTATTAGCCCTGTCATGTCTGGTTCGCAGTGTTGTTTGTCCTGTGGCTCAACCATTCTTAGTATGAAAGTCAACTTAGTTCTGGGATGATTTTTGTATCTGGATTGTACTTTCTCCAAAGCAGCTATGTCCTTTCTAAAGATGTGGTCTCCATGCTTAGATACAATAGTCCAAATGGGGGTGCACCTGAGATTTGTACAGTTCAGTAACCATTTTCTTTTCCATGAAGTCAAAGGTTCATTTGGCTGTTCCTAGAGGTTGGTGGCTTTTATTAACTGTAACCTTATTTCCAAGGGTTACTTGGCATCCTTGAAACTTACATGGTACTCCAGAAGTATATTAGCATTTCAGGGGCTCACATGATAAACTTGAAGCCCCACCACCAAGGTTTAGTTAGTTTAGTTCATTTATTATGCACCCCATACCCATCTTGTGGGCGGTAGTGGAAAGGGTTACAGAGGCACATAATGGGCTCAGGGACTGAACCCCACAATTCATTTAGCTAAGCAAGTTACACCACCAAGGTTGATAAAAATTAATGTTGTTGAAGACAGGAAGCCTGTACTTAGGTTTATCAAGGTTTCCCTAGGCCAGCAACTGACCTTCTTCAGCATACAACCCACAACAATACCATAACTACCAGGCACATATTTTTCTGCTAAGTGAAAAAAGACATCAAGTGAAAGGAAAAGTGCCAAACCATTTCTGCTCTACCCAGGGACTAAACCCAGGTCCCTCAGTTGTGACCCCAAGGCCATTGCGCTACAGGATCTAGCAAGTGGACCACTCATCCCTTTTCTGGCACCTGGGCTTTATGCGGTATTCCAAATGGTTCATTACCCAAGTTAATAACCGAAAACAAATAACCAGAAAACAGAGCACTTCTCACCTTGCCATTCTCAATGAGGTTGGTGACCATGATGATGATAGGAGAACGAGTGTGCCAGATCATCCTCCAAAAGTCACCAATGGTGTCAACATTAAAGTCCTTAGGTCCCTGAGAAGCGATGAATGCATTTGCCCGGGAGTGGCCCTAGAGGAGATATTGAGTTCAATATATATACACAAACATATACAGTATACACAAAATACACACAAGCACAGATGATACTGGAGAATATCACAGCTGAAAAATGGCAAATCAATGCATGGAGTCAGGTGAGAGGCTAGACTGCAGAAAGACATCATGTCACTTGAGACAGGTGAGAGGCAGTACTCATGCCTACAAGTACAAATAGCATAATTTTACTTGAAGGCCACCATCTCTATTGACCTTGATAGAGACAAGATGGTTTTCCAACGAACCCCTATTATTTCTGATGATTTCTTACCGTTATATTTTGATATGATACATTGCCTTGGTATTTACGGCTTGAGCAAAAACGTAATTTAATAGATTGATTACCCTATGGGCAGAAAAAACTAGAGGTGAGTATTCTTAATGAGGTGGTATTTTTGAGAGGGGCTATTTGACTTAAAGAAGGACCTGGCTGAAATGCTACATGTATTAGTGGCTTTGCAAGAAGGTAAGAACACCAATGGTATACTTTTACAAACCCAATGTACCTCCTTGAATATCAATAAATAAATAAGAATTTGCAGTACTTGGTGGCACAGTGGTAATTAGACTTGCCCGGGCTTCACAAGTGATCTGGCCTAGACTCGTATCTTGGCTGGGGATGATTGACTAGGCGCCAGTCCTTAACTGTAATCCTCTGTTCATCCAGCAGTGATTGGGTACCTGGTTATTAAATGACTGGCACGTCATATTCCAGGGAAACTAGTGGGTAAGTGTTCCCACACTTACATTGGTGCATTGGTGCATTGAACATTGGTGTTCCTCAGGGCAGCATACTTGGCCCTCTCCTCTTTCTCATCTACATTAATGACCTTCCAAATGCCTCCCAACACCTCAAACCAATTCTATTTGCTGACGACACAACCTTCATTTACTCCAGTCCTGACCCTCTTGCTCTAAATGCCACAGTAAATACTGAGCTAAATAAAGTCCATCTTTGGCTAACTGCCAACAAACTCACCCTTAACATTGACAAAACCTTCTATATTCTGTTTGGCAATAAATCCTCTAGTCTTATAAATCTCAAAATAAACAATACCCAAATTTGTAACAAATTAGATGGCAAATTCCTTGGCATTCTCATTGACCACAAGCTGAATTTCCAGGGACACATTCTAAATATATCTAAAAAAGTTTCAAAAACTGTGGGCATTCTTTCTAAGATTAGATATTATGTACCACGCCCTGCCCTGGTGACTCTCTATTACTCCCTTATCTATCCTTATCTCAACTATGGTATTTGTGCTTGGGGTTCTACTACCCAAAATCACTTACGTCCTCTAATTACCCAACACAAAGCCGCTATTAGAACAATATCCAACTCTGGCCCCAGACATCACTCGGTACCCCTACTCAAATCTCTTAATATGTTAGATATTAAGTCTCTGCACATTCTCTCATGTGTATTATACATATATAAAACGCTAAACTATAATGCCAATCCTGATCTTAAAAGCTTCATAGTAGGTTGTAACAGAACCCATGAGCACCACACCAGAAATAAATACAGTTTTGATATTCCTAGAGTACGTCTTAATCAAACTAGAAATGCTCTGCAAATCAAGGGGCCCAGAATGTGGAATGACCTTCCCAACCATGTTAAAGACTGTACCTCTCTCAACCAGTTTAAGATAAAAACTAAACACTACCTAATAAATTCCCTGTAATCTACCTCACTCCTCTATTGTCAACCCATGTCTGTTATTTTTTTTTTTTTTTTTTTTTTTAATCAACACTGTTTGTCAACCTATTGTATTTGTGCTGCTTTTTCAGTCATGTTTCCCCCTTTTTTTTTATCTTTATTTGTATTTGTTCTCAACATCTTTTATTCTTTATGCTCAATTAGTATTAAGTTCTAGATATTAATGTTTTCTTGCCCGAAACGCATTGCGTAATAGTGGCTTTAGGCATTGTATGTACTAGATCTATCTATATATCAATCCATTAATGTAACATCACTTGTATGTATATACCTTACCTGAATAAACATCTGAATCTGAATCTGAATCTGAAAGTCTTACCATGAGATACGAGATGGAAAAGCTCTCAACCTGCTAACAGGAGTCAGCAGTAATCTTTTCCTACTCACCTGTGTAATAAAAGAAAAGAATTACAGAGGGCACAAAAGTACTTAATCAAACCTTAGTAGATATTTTATATTATCATTTACAATTAATCTGTACCTTTTATAATTTAAATAACAGCTATTAACGAACTATAATGTATTCTTATACGTTGGGAGGCAAGTCTTTTAGTTAATAAAATAATTTACAATAATGGATATTACAGGAAAAGAGAAGAGTTGCTGTTTATGATTTTTTGTCTACACAGTTAATGCATTCATCTTATATATTTGTTTTATCTACTGATCACATCATAAGATAAGATATGATAAGATAAGATAAGATGTTTTTTCAGGTAAAGGTACATACATTGTAAATGAGTTACAAACATAATGTTGGATTTATAGATAAAGCTAGTACATATAATGCGTGAAGCCAATAATACACACAGCATTTCGGGCAAGTTGTGGGGAAAAACCTTAGACTAAAACGTAATACTAATTGGGATCAAAAGCATAAATTAATTTGAAAAAAAAAAGAAAAAAATCGTGTATCAGTGATATCATTTATCACTGAAATATCGATACAATACTGAATAATTTATAATAGAATTACAGTACAGTATTTGCCATTTCAAGCAAAGTACATTTAGATTTAGATTTAAATGAGTAAATTTGTTTTCTGAGTAGCTTGTTCAGGTTTCCTGTCCCTGACTCTGGGAAACCATATTATTCTCAAAACTGTGACAAGCATTTGGTTAGTTTAGTTTATTTATTATGCACCCCATACCCATCTTGTGGGCGGTAGTGGAAAGGGTTGCTGAGGCACATAATGGGCTCAAGGCCTATGTAACCTTTTCCACCTGACACCTGACAGCTGGGTGGACAGCGCTTCGGATTCGTAGTCCTGAGGTTCCAGGTTCGATCCCCGGTGGAGGCGGAGACAAATAGGCAAAATGTTTCTTTCATCCTGATGCCCCTGTTACCTAGCAGTAAATAGGTACCTGGGAGTTAGACAGCTGCTACGGGCTGCTTCCTGGGGGTGGAGGCCTGGTCGAGGAACAGGTCACGGGGACACTAAGCCCCGAACTCATCTCAAGATAACCATCTCAAGATATCCACTACCGCCCAGAAGATGGGTATGGGGTACATAATAAATAAACTAAACTAACTAAATGTTTATCACAGTTTTAAGCATAATATTTTTTCCCCAGAGTCAGGGACTGGAAACCTGAACAGGCTATTCAGAAAACAAATTTACTCATTTAAAGATAAATCTAAATGTACTTTGTTATTTATTTATTATTTATTTATATATATACATGAAGGTACATTAGGATTGTGAGGATACATAGCATAGTAATTACAATCTTGTAAAGCCAATAGTACGCGCAGTGTTTCGAGCAGGTCCTTAATCTAAGAAAATTTTAAGTAGGTAAATACTTGCAAAATATATAAAAATGATAACAGTTACACAGCAAGAAAAAAAAATAAAAGATGAGAGAAAATTGTAGGTATATTAAAGCACATAGGTAGCTCAGATTGATTGCAATGACAGCTTGAATGGTAGTTTAACAAAAATTAGTAGGCACAATACAGCATATGGCTAGCACATAAAAGAAGACAGCAATGAACACAATGATAAAGTTGTTTGGGTTAACTACATAAAGATTGGGAGATTGGGTAACACTAGATACAGAGCAAATTTAAAGCTCAGTGTAGGAAACTACGAAGATGAAATTAGGTACTGTACTTTTTGTTTTTGTTTTTAAATGAAGCAAAAGTTTGACAGCTTTTCAATTCACTAGGGAGTGAGTTCCATAGACTAGGTCCCTTAATTTGCATAGAGTGTTTACACAGATTAAGTTTGACCCTGGGGATATCAAAGAGATATTTATTTCTGGTGTGGTGATAATGGGTCCTATTACATCTGTCCAGGGAGAGTTTAAGAGCATGGTTTGCATTTAAGAACAGGGTTTTGTAAATGTAGTTGACACAAGAGAATGTGTGGAGGGAGTTAATATTTAGCAAGTTTAGGGATTTAAACAAGGGAGCTGAGTGTTGTCTGAAAGCAGAGTTTGTTATTATTCTGATAGCAGATTTTTGCTGGGTGATGATGGGCTTATTTGCTTGAAATGGCAAATAATTTGGTTATAAATTATTCATTTGGACACTGAATATTGATGCAAAAACATGTACTTTCTGTTTCTTTTGCAATATTTAGGTTATCAGTAATAGAAGCTTAGTACCTGAATGTAGCTGGCGTTTATGTAGTCTGAGTAAGGGTCATTGGACAGGAAAGGCAGCTTCACCCTGGTATCATCATCTGTCAGGCACCAGAGATGGTGTTAAAAGTAGACTGAGGTACCATTGAAGGTGTTGAGAAAAAGACTGAGGGTACCATTGAAAGTGTTGAGAAAAAGACTGAGGTACCATTGAAGGTGTTGATAAAAAGACTGAGGTACCATTGAAGGTGTTGAGAAAAAGACTGAGGGTACCATTGAAGGTGTTGATAAAAAGACTGAGGTACCATTGAAGGTGTTGATAAAAAGATGAAGGTACAGTACCATCAAAAGTGTTGATAAAAAGACTGTGGTACCATTGAAGGTGTTGAGAAAAAGACTGAGGTACCAGCAAATGTGCCAGTGAGATACTAGTTGATGTGTTGACAGAAGTATCAGCAGAAGTATTAGAGTCCTTAGAAAACCAGTACTAGAAGCAAGTTACTATCATGACAGTGATGGTGCCACCGAGGTGAAGAACACAGTGCCGAGACTGACCAACTGTAGGATGAAGTAGTGTGCATCACTAAAAGATTCTCCAAATGTTGATACCACTGATAGCCATAAAGTCTTTACATTTTCAGTTTAGAGTTAAGAGACTTGCCAATTTATGGAATTTGCCAAAATCAGGATAAAAATAAAAAATAAAATAAAATACTTTGTTTTGATAAGGATTACAACTCTTTCCCTCCCCACTTATTAAGAGTTCCTTCCTTCTTCTCCTCACCTCCATTTTCTCAACTCCCATAATCTCCTTCCCACCTTTTTTTCCTTCCTCACAATATTATCCCCCTCCCAATCCTATTCTCTCCCCTCCCTCCCTACTCTATTCTCCTCATCCCCCCCCCCCACTTCCCCCTTTCTTCAGTAGTCATCAAGAATCTGCTGGTGTGACTAACTCACATGGAATGTTGTTTTTGTAGCGGTTCTTGCATCTGTTCGCCTCAAGTGCTCCCTCTGAGCAGCTCTTTCCCATCATGGCTGGCACACTCTGACCACACAAATTAAAAGTATAGATAAATAGATGCTAGCAACCTAAATTTCAAATGCTTCTCATTTTTGCTTAATAATCTAACATTGGAAATGAGAAGGTTAGCTATGCTTTCATGATTACAATGATGCTTGGTGGCCTTAATTATATAAAGGAACAATAGCTTCTGATTTACTCAAAGTTTCAGGTCAAAAGCTCAGCAGAAGGCTCCTGACAAGTTATAGGTCCAGTAGTAACAATCACCTCATTCTAAATCACACATAAAAAAGAACATTGCCACAAAACTCACCCTGAATTCCAGCTCAAGATCCGGTGACTGGATGACATTTGACAAATAGGTCTTAACCTCTGTCCTTAGAATCTTTCGTGAAAGGTTGACGTACACTGCCTCCTTCAGCATGTCAGAGGATTGTTGTTGGTCCTGCTCTGGAAAGGCAACTTCTTCTTGCTCATTTATGCATTTCCTATCTTCTTCTTGGGGTAAAATTTCTTCTTGGAGTGGAAGATCAACAACTGCTGGGAAAACTTCTCGTGTCAGCAACCCTGGAAGGAAGAGACTCAGAGCATCATAACTGTTCAAATAGCATAACTGCTATTTGAACAGTGATCCTGACTGATTATGTAATCTTCAAATACAGTACACAGTATTGCCCATATCTCTCACTAGTGGGAAATTAATCATATAAAAAATTCAGCATTGAATGTAATGAAATGCCTCTTTCCTTATGAGCTGCAGTGGCTCCCTGAAGATATCTCGCTGAGATATTACTCCATGCCAATGGGTCACATCAGACAAAGGAGTTCTGTTTGGCCTATCAAGGACCAGAGACAAAACCTGCCCCTCCTCCATCACAGAGGTGCAGAGAGCAAGTGGCAGTTCACTACCACACTAGAAAAGCATCCAGAAAGTCAGCAAAGTTTTACAGACAACTGGAGGGTTAACAAGGACCGAAGCCTCAAAAATGCCAAACAACTCTGCTCCAACTCAAAAGTAAAACTCTGGTTTTAATTTTGAATAAAGTATAGAATGGACAATTTTTTAATTCATTAGGAAATAAGTTCCATAGACTGAGTTCTTTTATTTGTATGGAGCATTTGCACAAATTCAGTCTGACTAAGAATATTAGAGATACTGGTACAGTACTGTATTTATTTCTCCCGAGAGATTTATTACCTCCAGAGATGACCTCACAAAGGCCTGTGAGACCACGTACGAGACCAACCTCATGCAGGCCCATGGAACCAACTCAAAGCCAGTGCCGGGCATCTGGAACTTGACTACTCAGCAATAACGATTATTCTAATGGCTTTTGAACCATGCCTGACGGGGAAAGCTTCTCGAGTGTCTTAACATGCTGTACACCTTGTTCCCCCTGTCTAAACTATATATGGCCCTACACCCTGCCTAAGGTTGTAAACCAAGAATCTGGGGAAGGGAGGAGGAAGGGAAGGTGGGAGAAAGATAAGGGAGAGGAAGAAGGACAAGGGAGAAAAGAATAAGGGAAAATTAAAGAAGAGTGGATAATCTCTGGCTGTAAGGGACATATGTTTCTAAGCCATACCCTAGAGTACAGTTATTGAAACCCGTCCTTATTGCATAGAAAATACAAAGGCTATTGGAGTCTACTCTATAACGATCTTTATAGCATACCTTGCACAGGGACACACCCCCTCATTCCTAGGAGCCAAACAAAGTTAAGAGTATCCAACCAGGGAAAATAATAATTTGTGTCTCTACAAAGGATTTAATTTCTAGAGCTTAAAGTTACTTTACAAGATAACTATTAAAATGGAAGTACAAGGTAATATTTTCACAGAATATGTATTACTTGGAATAGAGTTACTGGTACTTTGAATATGGGTCTGACTAAAACCGGGAATTAAATTCGTTACGCTACTGTACAATTTTCTGACTTGCAAATTCCAGATATTCTAACAGACAAGGTGATACTTTGCAATCTTCCCACAACTCTAATTGTGAAATGATTCTAACTCAATATTCTCTTAAGGCACTAGACTGACTTTACAGACCCGAGATTAATTCTACAGTGTCTTGATTAGCTCCAAAAACCTACGAACAACCTCACTAACTTTAGACTTAACTGTACAAAAAGCATAGACTAACTCCTAAAGCCTTGACTGTAATTTACTACTTCAGAGTCCGCAATTTGTATCTCATTCATCCTGTAATGAGTATAGACAGGTCTGGGACCCAGAACCATCAACATAACTGATATATCAAGACAAAATGGACCTCAAAATCCAAGCGAAGACACTTGGCTTGTAAAAATTATGAGCAGAGATATCTGTTTTAAACTACCATTCTTGAGACATATCAACAGAAAGCATTACGTTTTGACAGAAGGTGACGAGAATGACTTACCATTTTGGCACTGAATGGGTGAGTGGAGACACACTTCCACGGTTGATGGCATGTTGCTTGACCTTTGGAGGGTAAGGGAATACACAATTTCAATATTTAAAGTATCTAGATTATGTACATAATATATAAATATATATATATATATGTCGTACCTAGTAGCCAGAATGCACTTCTTGGCCTACTATGCAAGGCCCAATTTGCCTAATAGGCCGAGTGATTTTTTTTATTTTCAATAAATTGTTGCCAATTAGTTTATTTTAATTATTATTATTATATTATATTAGGAACATAAATTATTTATGCATTTGTGTTAGTTTAGGTTAGGTTTACATAGGTAAGGTTAGGTAGGGTTGGTTAGGTTCGGTCATATATCCACATTAGTTTTAACTCAAATTTAAACAAATTAACTTATACATAATGAAATAGCCAGATTTATCATTTCATAAGAAAAAATTTAGAAAAATATATACATTCAAGAAAACTTGGCTTATTAGGCAAATCAGGTCTTGCATAGTAGACCGAGTACGAGGTTCTGGCTACTAGGTACAACATTATATATTTATATATACTGTATATATATATTATATATATATATAGTATATATTTTTTTTAAGTATAATCAAAGTCTCCAATTGAACAACAAAAATCAGATTATTTCCAGGTATTTCAGGTATGCATATATGCAGCCTGTTTCTCCCTACCTGTGTTTCAAGGCGAAATAGATGATGAAGGCCACCAGCACCAGTATGATCACAGGCACGATGCCTGCCACCGCGTAGATCATATGCCGTGTCACAGATTCATCAGATTTTGGTGTGTGATCTGTAACACCAATGGCTTGTTGATTATAAAACACATTAGTTAGTTTGCAGGTTATGCAACCTTAGAGGCTCAAGAGTCATGCAACACTAGGGGGTTAAAGTGTCATGCATCACTAAGGGATTGATGGTTATGCCTCTTACTTAAACTTCATCATACCTACCTGCCTGTTACCTGTTGGAGATTTCTAGGATCAATGTCCCAGCCACCCAGTCTCTGACCAGGCCTCTGCTGGTCTGATCAACAAAGCTGTTCGATGCAGCTGCTCACAGCCTGACGTACGAGTCACAATCTAGTTGAACAGGTATCCTTTGACGGTGCTTGTCGCGTTCTCTTTTGAACATTGCGAGTGGTTGGCCTATACTTGTACTGTACCTGTAATGTGCCTGTAATTTCTTTGCCAGTTTTTTTGTGGTACCTTATTAGTTTCTGTAAAGTTTCTTCTCTATTATCTACAGACCTTATAAATAATGACAGCTAGTAACAAAATTCTTGCACTGCAACTTAAATGAATTACAATATACAGTATGACTGAACACTGGAATTTTTGGTTTAGTTCATTTATTATGCACCCCATACCCATCTTGTGGGTAGTAGTGGAAAAGGTTACAGAAGCACATAATGGGCTCAGAGGCACGTCATTTTGTTAATACCTGTACTTGTACTTAAAATAATTATCAACATTCGATATTTTAGGATAATAGAAGAATTGATATTTATAATTTGACTCTACACAGCTTATAATTTTGTCATATATATTTTCTTTATGTACAAAATATGAATTCAGTGCAAGAGTTTCAGATGTTATATATAATACAGTAAAACGATTTGCCATCTCATGCAACACACATATAAATTTACAGTATCTCTAAATGACAATTTTTTCACAGTACTGTACACTATTTAATGTAATGATCTAGTGTAATTACCATAGTGTAATTATTCTAGGGGGGTAGTTAAGTGTAGTTACAGAATGTAAGCTACACTTGTGGTGTCCCGTCTTCCCAGTATTCTTTGTCATGATACTTTGAAACTACTGATGGTTTTGGCCTTCACTGCCTTCTCACTTAAATTGTTCCAACTTTCTACAACTGTTTGCAAAAAGATAACTTTGTTATATTTTTGTGCACGTTTGTGTGTATCCCTGTCTTTGTTCATGCACTTTACACTTCATGTAAGCTGAATTGTCAGAGATACTTGTAAGCAGATCGAATTTGAGCTGTGACAACATCTGTCAATCTACTGATTGTGCTTCTTTCCCCATACAAAGTTTCTGTTTGACAGTATGATAAACAATGGATCTGCTGGTTCCTGTTTGCACTCATATATTCTCTTCAAATTCATCTATGAGTTCAATCTTATCCAAAAACACTCTTTAAAATTCTATTTGATTTTTTTTTTTTTTTTGCATGAATATTCCTGCATGGGTCTTAAGCCTCTGGCTGGCCCACAAAGTGTTTCTTGCATCTGCTTTTACTTAGGTGTTCAACAATGTTGTTATTTACTGCAAGCTTTGAAAGGTCTTCAACTTTATCATGCTCTTACAGCCCAGTGTGTGAGGGGATCCACAACAATTTGATTATGACTCCCTTAACAACTAACTCCTAGGCATCTGTTTACTACTAGGTGAACAGAAATTATCAGGTGAAAGGAAACATTGCCCAAATACTTCTGTCCTGCCATAGGAATTGATCTCAAGATCTTTCAGCTGTGACCTGACTGTCCATGCCACTGTGCCATAGGACCCTAGAGTGATAATTAATGCTAAAGTATATAAGCTATTATTATAGAGCATTTCCAGCATTTTAAGATGAATTACAATTATAGAAACCCATGTAAAGGTCTATGATGATGATGACTCTAGATTACCCTCGAGAAGACTATCAAGGAATGAAAGAGGAATCGCAAAATACCTCCTGGATGGAGTTGATAGGTAACAATGGTATGGAAGCATAATGGGAAAATTTCAGGAAAGTCATCACTGAACTCAGTCAGAAATATGTGCCAAAAAAAGGGGTGGGGGGCCAGATAGATGACACAAGTACAGTAGTAAAAAAATCTTTGATAACTAAACGGAACCTCTAGAGAAGGTATAAATCCACATGAACATCATAGATTATGACAAGCTGCTGGCTTCCTGTCTTTGTCAAGGACACTAGAGTGTTAGTGGCCCATAGAAATTCAGGTAAATTAATAATAACAATAATAACAAAATGAATTCCATACATGTTTAGCAATAACCCCCATTCCTGTCCTCGTCGAGGCCACTAGTGTTAGTGGCCCTCAGGTAAATCAGGTCAAGAAGGCTACACTGCACCCCATGGCCACACTACACGCAGGGCCACACTGAACCCTGAGTCAGACTACACCCCGAGGGCCACACGAAGAGTTACACTAAATCGAGAATAACCTCTCCTCCACATACCTTGCCAGTTATGCTCCCATACCTGGTTAGTGGTGAACCTATACCTAGTACTAGTAGTGACCCCATACCTGGTTAGTGGTGAACCTATACCCGGTATTAGTAGTGACCCCATACCAGGTTAGCAGTTGACACCATGCCAGGACCAAGTGTGATACCTTACCTGTAGTGGTGTTTGTGGCGTTAGTGGACCACTGAGTGATGTCACGCATCTGCGGGACTTCAGGGAAACCAGTGTTTATCTGGTTGATGCCCACCTTAGAATCCTCCATCCTTTGCTGTTGTTCTAGGGGGAACAAGAAGTTACTGTATAATGTTAATGAAATGATAATAATGAAATAACCAAAGAATGAACATATCCAAGACATGCCTGTGCGTATTACAGGTAGTGGCTTTAGGTATTGTATGTACTACAGTAGCTCTATCTATAAATCCAACATTATGTTTGTAACTCATCTTCTATGTATGTACTTTTACCTGAATAAACATTTTGATTTGATTTTGATGTAATGATGTATTCTCTGGGCTGACCCATGACAAACAATAACAGCAAAGACAACAAAAGCAGAGAAATGAATGACAATAACAGCAGCAAAGAAAATAATAACAAAGATGATAATAATACAAAGAACGATAATAGTACAAATTATAATAACAAAGTTAATGAATGATGTTAATAACAAGGATAATAACAGGATTAACAACAACATCAGTAAGAATGTTGAACCGCCTAACACTGGCCTCACTTACCTGTGAGAGTTTAGCAGTGATCCAGATAGTATAGTTAGGTTATTTGTTGTTTCCTTGCTCCTTAACAAGATTTTCTGCTATCTGTTTTTGTTATTCGACTGCATCCTGTATTTGTTCTTGTTCTCTTTTTAGCAGGTGTTTTTGTTTTCTCATGCCCTGTTTTTTGTTCCTGATATCTGCTTACAACAATCCACTGGAACCTGTCAATGCAAATCCCCAGGTTAAAGTATCATTGCAAAGCTTGCATTAAATCAAATCAGATCAAATAAAATCAAGTCCTTCTATTTGATGGTCCTTCTGGGAAAGCTTCCCCAATTACATCACTTTGTTTCTGCTCACCTCCCCAAATATCTCACTTTGTTTCTGCTCAAATCAAGTCCTTCTTTAAATCAAGTCCTTCTACTGCCCACCATAGGTCTGGAGCAGGGCTCCATCCCACAGGTTCCAACATGAGAGTTATGCTTCTGCAGAATCTTATGTACAGCAAAATGCCATTTCTCAAAGTTAAAGAATTATGGGGAAGCAGGATTACATTTCTAAGACTTCCCAAAATTCAGTTTTGTGCAAATTATTTACCATCTTGAACATAACCTACATGACCATGTTTCTGTTCATCTCCCCAAATACCTCACTATGTTTCTGCTCATCTCCCCAAATACCTCACATTGTTTCTGCTCATCTCCCCAAATACCTCACTTTGTTTCTGCTCACCTCCCCAAATACCTCACTTTGTTTCTGCTCATCTCCCCAAATACCTCACTATGTTTCTGCTCACCTCCCCAAATACCTCACTATGTTTCTGCTCACCTCCCCAAATACCTCACTATGTTTCTGCTCACCTCCCCAAATACCTCACTATGTTTCTGCTCACCTCCCCAAATACCTCACTATGTTTCTGCTCACCTCCCCAAATACCTCACTATGTTTCTGCTCACCTCCCCAAATACCTCACTATGTTTCTGCTCACCTCCCCAAATACCTTACAGAATATTACCTTCTAGAGATGATCAGTGCCATCATAGAGGGTGTGAACACCACCATGGAAAAAAACACTAACATTGTATCATCAGGGGAGAAGAGAACACCATTAATATCACTACGGGAAAGAACAGTCACCATCAGGGGAGGGAACACCAACAGTGTCACCATCAGGGGAGAGAACACCATCACAAATAAATCGAAGAAGGCCTTATTATGCTGTGGTAAACCCTGAGCCATACTAGACCCAGTCACACTACACACAGAGCCACAATACACACAGAGTCACACTACACACAGAGCCACACTACACACAGAGCCACACTACACACAGAGCCACACTACACACAGAGCCACACTACACACAGAGCCACACTACACACATAGCCACACTACACACAGAGCCACACTACACACAGAGCCACACTACACACAGAGCCACACTACACAAAGAGCCACACTACACACACAGAGCCACACTACACACACAGAGCCACACTACACACACAGAGCCACACTACACCCAGAGCCACACTACACACACAGAGCCACACTACACACACAGAGCCACACTACACACACAGAGCCACACTACACACACAGAGCCACACTACACCCAGAGACACACTACACCCAGACACACACTACACCCAGAGCCACACTACACACAGAGCCACACTACACACAGAGACACACTACACACAGGGCCACACTACACACAAGAGCCACACTACATCCAGACACACTACACACACAGCCACACTACACACACAGAGCCACACTACACACACAGAGCCACACTACACACACAGAGCCACACTACACACACAGAGCCACACTACACACACAGAGCCACACTACACCCAGAGCCACACTACACACACAGAGCCACACTACACACACAGAGCCACACTACACACACAGAGCCACACTACACACACAGAGCCACACTACACACACAGAGCCACACTACACACACAGAGCCACACTACACCCAGAGCCACACTACACACAGAGCCACACTACACGCAGAGACACACTACACACACAGAGCCACACTACACACACAGAGCCACACTACACACACAGAGCCACACTACACCCAGAGCCACACTACACACTACACCCAGAGCCACACTACACACAGAGACACACTACATACAGAGCCACACTACACACAGAGCCACACTACACCCAGAGCCACACTACACACAGACACACTACACCCAGAGCCACACTACACACAGAGTCACACTACACACAGAGCCACACTACACACAGAGCCACACTACACACAGAGCCACACTACACACACAGAGCCACACTACACCCAGAGCCACACCACACACAGAGCCACACTACACGCAGAGACACACTACACACAGACACACTACACCCAGAGCCATACTACACACAGAGACACACTACATACAGAGCCACACTACACACAGAGCCACACTACACACAGAGCCACACTACACACAGAGCCACACTACACACAGAGACACACTACACACAGAGACACACTACGCACAGAGATACACTACACCCAGAGACACACTACACCCAGAGCCACACTACACACAGAGCCACACTACACCCAGAGCCACACTACACACAGAGCCACACTACACACAGAGCCACACTACACACAGAGCCACACTACACACAGAGACACACTACACACAGAGACACACTACACACAGAGACACACTACACACAGAGACACACTACACACAGAGACACACTACACACAGAGACACACTACACACAGAGCCACACTACACACAGAGCCACACTACACACAGAGACACACTACACACAGAGCCACACTACACACAGAGCCGCACTACACCCAGAACCACACTACACCCAGAACCACACTACACCCAGAACCACACTACACACAAAACCTCATGGCCACACTACACCCATTTCTTTTAGGGCATATGGGGGAACTTTCGACAAGCCGCCGGCTTCCTGTCCTCGTCGAGGCCACTAGTATTAGTGGCCCTCAGGTAAATCAGGTCAAGAAGGCTACACTGCACCCCAGGGCCACACTACACGCAGGGCCACACTGAACCCTGAGTCAGACTACACCCCGAGGGCCACACGAAGAGTTACACTAAATCGAGAATAACCTCTCCTCCACAGGGTCCTCGGGGATGCGAACCCCAACTTGCTAAGTTGCAAGCCGAATGTCTACCACTGGACCATCAGGATGGGTCAACATATCCAGGTTGGTAGTGTGTAATATTAAATGTTTATCTGTATTCTTTAACTTACCATCTTTGATCTCTCGTTTTAATAGCATAACTGTCACAGATTTTGTAATATTGGGTATTTAAATTTCATACATAACTAACTCCCACATTTTTCTTTATTCTAATTATTTTATGCATTTTATGGGCCTTATAACGACAGTGTAAAAATTGTATAGTATGAACATATTATTATTAATACCAAAACATATAATACCGTGCAAGTGTCTATAAGCTGGTTAAGAGTAGAATGATTATAGGGGTATAATTACCATTACAACAGAAACATACAATTACCTTGTTACGAGGCCGTTTGAAGCGTATGCCACAACAGGAGAACCAGAGTGGAGATGGATGAAACACTAATCCACACACGTATTACCTTATCCACACCCGCACTACCTTATCCACACCTACACTCCATTAGAACATACACCCTCACTGTCAAAACTACACATACATTCAGTCAAGTAAACCACTCACTGACAGACAGCAGTCAGGATGTTACTGACAAGTAACCAGCGCTTTGGAAAGACTGAAAGATACAGTGGAGGGGGTGAGAAGGGGTAGTGGAGGAGGGGGTGATAGTGGGGGGGTGTTGGAGAAGAGAGGATGGTGAGGGTGAGGGAGAAGGTTATCAAGGTTAACACAGTCTTCAGGAAATGTAAAGATAACCTATCCAGCCCGGCATTCTTACTCTGTCTCTTGTCCACGTCTGCCATTTTATCCTGCTTATGCATATGTCTTCTTCTATCCATGCCTGTCATTTATTCTGCCTTGCTCATAGCTTCTCTCCCACATGACTATTTCTTCAGTTCATGCCTGTCTCCTCTGTTCATTCCTAAAATAATAAATTTATTATATTATTATTATTATTAAAATAATAATAATAATAATCCACTCTGTGGATTATTATTATTATTATTTATAATATGTACAATATATACTTTATTTAATATTTGGCTGCAAATAATTGTGAGTCAGCCGAGAAATGAATGATTGTTGATGAAGCTGTTGATGATTTGAGCGTCTTGTGTCGTGGTCACTGTTTTCTGGATGCCCTCAAAATTGGGCCAGGTGGGGGGAACCTTTAGAACACAGGCCCTATACACAGAAGGCCGTCGGCATCTGTCTGGTGTTGAATTCTTTCATATACATGTCAGAACACACGTTAAAAATGGTTTGAAGAAAGTGCTAAGCTTAAAAAAAAAAGTTTTCCGTCCTGCTCGATTGTGGCTCGCAGTAAAATTCTGTAAAAAGTTAAGTACATTGTGGCAGAGAGGATGAGTGTGCGTTGGTTTGGGAAGTGCAACTTTGTAAGTCTGAGTCCGAAACGCATTGCGTAATAGTGGCTTTAGGCATTGTATGTACTAGCTCTATCTATATATCAATCCATTAATGTAACATCACTTGTATGTATATACCTTACCTGAATAAACATCTGAATCTAAATCTGAGTCATCAACCATATTACATCTGCATTCTGTTGTTGTTGTTTTAGATTCAGCTACACGGAACAAAAAGTTCCAAGCTGCACGGGCTATGGTGATCATATATAATGATCATTAGCAATAAAGTTCCAAGTTCAAGTATGTTTATTGAGACAAGAAAAAATACATCTCAAAGGAATAGAGTAGCTTAGGCTATTTCTACCCCCCCCCCCTCCCCCCCAAGTTCCAAGCAGCACGAGCTATGGTGATCATATATAATGATCATTAGTAATACAGTTCCAAGCAGCACAGGCTATGGTGATCATAATGATCATTAGCAATACAAATTATGGAAATTCCTTGGGAATATACATAGACAAGAGACTAAACTTCTGCAACCACATACAACACATAGCGAAAAAGTATCAGAAAACTGTCGGTATACTTTCTAAAATAAGATATTATGTTCCCCACTCTGCTCTCCTCTCATTGTACCACTCGCTAATCCATCCCTATCTTACATACGGTATCTATGCATGGGGTTCAACTACGGGGATCAAAGAAGATTTTAAATAACAAACCAACACTCCTGTCCAATAACGATGGTCAGCTTCTAGCCTCTGATTCTGCTATTGAGTTCAATAGGTTCTTCTCTTCCATTGGGTCATCCCTTGCAAATGACATTTCATCTTCCAGTACTGATGTTCAGGACTATCTTACAGGTAACTATCCACAATCTCTGTACCGAAAGCCTACAAATTCCACTGACGTTAATGAGATAATCCTTTCCCTTCAAACCAAGTCTAGTGCCCTTGAGGAGATACCAACTTTAATTTACAAAAAAGCCACCAGATCTTTAGCCCCTGCTATTGCATTGCTCTTCAACAAGTCACTTGAACTCCAAACCTTTCCAGATATTCTAAAAAACAAGGGCGAGTAACCCCTGTCCACAAATGTGGTGATCTCACAGATGTTAACAACTACAGACCTATATCAATCCTGCCTAACTTGTCAAAAATATTTGAAAAACTAATCTACAAGCAGCTTTACTCTTATCTAGCCAAACACAATATATTTAGCTCTTGTCAATATGGCTTCAGACCCAAAAACAGCACTAACGATGCACTTATTAGTATGATTAACTAGATTCATGCAGCTCTTGATAAAAATGAGTTTCCTGTTGTGTTATTTGTGGACGTGCGTAAGGCTTTTGACACTGTCAACCACCAAAACCTTCTTCTTAAATTACAACATTATGGAGTCAGAGGTCACTCCCTACAATACCTCAAGTCTTACCTTACTGACAGGCTCCAGTATGTTTCTGTGAATAATTCAATTTCTCCCACCCTACCCATCAACATCTGTGTTCCTCAAGGCAGCATACTTGGCCCTCTCCTCTTTCTCATCTACATTAATGACCTTCCAATTGCCTCCCAACACCTCAAACCAATTCTATTTGCTGACGACACAACCTTCATTTACTCCAGTCCTGACCCCCTTGCTCTAAATGCCACAGTAAATACTGAGCTAAATAAAGTCCATCTTAGGCTGACCGCCAACAAACTCACCTTTAACATTGACAAAACCTTCTATATTCTGTTTGGCAATAAATCCTCTAATCAAATAAATCTCAGAATGAACAATACCCAAATTTGTAACAAATTATATGGCAAATTCCTTGGCGTTCTCATTGACCACAAGCTGAATTTCCAGGGACACATTCTAAATATATAAAAAAAAGTTTAAAAAACTGTTGGCATTCTTTCTAAGATCAGATATTATGTACCCCGCCCTGCCCTGGTGACGCCCTATTACTCCCTCATCTATCCATATCTCAACTATGGTATTTGTGCTTGGGGTTCTACTACCCAAAATCATTTACGTCCTCTTAATTACTCAACACAAAGCTGCTATTAGGACAATATCCAACTCTGGCCCCAGACATCACTCGGTACCCTTACTCAAAACTCTAAATATATTAGACATTAAGTCACTGCACATTCTCTCATGTGTATTATACATATATAAAACGCAGAACTGTAATGCTAATCCTGACCTCAAAAGCTTCATTGAAGGTTGTAACAGAGTCCATGAGCACCACACCAGAAATAAATACAATTTTGAAATTCCAAGAGTACGACTTAATCAAACTAGAAATGCTCTACAAATCAAGGGTCCCAGAATGTGGAATGACCTTCCCATCCATGTTAAAGACTGTACCCCTCTTCCAATTTAAGATAAAAACGAAGCACTACCTAATAAATTCCCTGTAACCTACCTTACCCCTCTATTGTCAACCCATGTCTGTTTTTTTTTTTTTTAAACACCGCTGTTTGTCGACCTAATTATATTTGTGCTGCTCTTTCAGCCATGTTACCCCCTTTCTTATTTTTATTTTTATTTGTTCTTAACACATTTTATACTTTAAAACTCAATTAGTATTAAGTTTTAGTCTTTAATGTTTTTCCTGCCCGAAACGCTTTGCGTAATAGTGGCTGCATTGTATGTACCAGCTCTATTTATAAACCTAGGAATTTTTGTAAAAATCTCTTGTATGTATGAACCTTACCTGAATAAACATTTATTTATATATATATAATGTACCTTCTTGTATATATATAAATTTATTTATGTTTCCCATAAAATAATAACACACTAAAGAATTAAAAGAAAGCGAAGTAACGTTTTAGGAGTAACTTGCTTAATGTCGGATTAGTATTTTGATCATTGCTTAATTCGTTTTGTTTTCGTTTACTCCAGGACAGGAAGCCTGTTCTGTCCCGAAGACAGAAATACAGCCACGGAGCAATAGTTTAAAGCTCAACAAACCTCAATGTAGGACTGAGAACAGATTTTTTTTTTCACCCACATGGTTATTAACCCATGGAACTGCCTACCCGCCGAAATCGCGAACTCCAAAACTGTTAGGTTTCGAAATCCACCTGGATAGGATTATCGAAACAAATGGGGGGACCTTCAACAAGGCCACTGTCCTCGTCGAGGACTGTGGCCTCGAGGCCTTACCTTAGGTAAGAAGCGGGTAAATATATATAAATCAAAATTATTTTTTTTTTCTACCACAGACGTGGCCACACATTTACAATGCTAACCAGCATATATACATTTTCTACTGTCCTCCATGGACAGTAGAAAATGTACTTAAATGTAATGTACATTTAAGTATGTGAGTGTACAAAATGTACACTCACATACATGTAGTGTTGCATGGTTTGACTTCCCTCATACATTATACCTCTCCTCGTCACTTCTATCTGTCCCTGAATATTTCTGATTTTGCTTCTTATTTGTCTCATTGTTAAAACACATTCAATGTCAACTTGTGGTTTTGATGTGGCACGTTTGGCCAAGTCATCCGCCACCTCGTTGAGCACTATTCCAACATGAGATGGAATCCACATGAATTTCACTTTGTGACCTTTCAACTGTATCTCATTTATCTTTTTCTTACAATCATCAACTATGGACATGAAGACTGGATTTCGACTGTTTAAGGAATCAAGTGCTCCTCGGCTATCGACAAATAAACATCTTTGTCGTCATGACGTACTTCCTCCAAACACACCAGAATGGCCTGCAGTTCAGCTTGTGTGGATGATATATAATTACTACTAAGTCGAAGTTCAATTTTCCTGTCCAACCGGGTCATAGGTTCTCTTCTATTTTGGCAATTATCCGGTTTTCAACACAATTTATTTTTACATTCAGACTTTTTAACCAGCCTCACTTTGGGTAATTCTCCGAGAAAAGTCAGTTTAATGTAGTTGCAGTGCTCAGCAGTGCTCAGCAGTGCTCAGTGCTTTATGTAGGGCATACGTAAATCTGTGTATCTATGTATTTACGTATGTAGGTTAGCTTAGCATTTTAAAAGCACCGACTCACCTTCTGTGGTTGATTGTTCAATAAACCCCTGAACTATATGTTTAACTAACACATCTCTAACCCTGTCCATGGAGGACAGAATAAAATGTATATATGCTGGTTAGCATTGTAAATGTGTGACCACGTCTGTGGTAGAAAAAAAAAGTGCTCAGCGAGGGTAACTGTAAGGTAAGGAGGCGTCCTGAAGAGACGTGCACGGG